GGGTACAAATTCTCGGTCTGCAATTCATAAACTTGACCCGCCATAGATTCTGATAGTAAATATTAGCACGATAAGGAAAAAGTTTACTCATCCCTGCTAAAGACGCTTGCGATACCAAAAATAGAGGTAACTAACAAACTCGAGCTTCTACAATAGAATGACTATTTTATTTGATATATTGATTTGAAACGTCGCATGACGTCACGTTTTGGTACAATTTTCACTTAAAAGTGACGTCACGAGCCCCTACTCCCAAACTTTGACGCGCTATAACTTTGTCATTTTTGGTTGATTGCCCAAAGTGAAAAAACGTGTCCATTATTTTTTGATAATCTAACTGACGGACTAAATAGAGTTTCGTTTACTGTACCCCGTCATCACCCCCATTACGCCGCGATGTAGCATCATTAAGCGCGGTCTACCAACTATACCACGGCGAGTGTTCTGAGGAATTATTCTCCCTTATGCCTCCATCACCTTTTCTTCAGAGGACCACGCACGCTGGCCTACGTTGCCACTGACTTACTGTGGCCACTATTCCTACACGAACAAAGTTTGGTGACTCATTTCTTCGTCGTACTATTCGTAAATGGAATTCTTTGCCCGCGCATGTGTTCCCTCCTTCTTACAATCTAGGGTCCTTTAAGAGAGGCGTGAAAAAGCATTTGCTGGCCGGCAAGGTGAGGATGGTTGGTGTGGTAGTTTATAACTGCAGTACAAGCTAGCTTCGCGTCTGGACTTTATCACCACTTAACATCAGGTGGGGTAGAGTCATTTGCCTACCTAGCTATATAAAAAAAAATACTCACACCGTTGCCTACGCTCCTGGAACCTAACTTACCGACATAAACATGCACCAAAAGGTAATGTTATTTCACTGTAGTCTGCTGTAAGGTGGAGGTTACTTCCCCAGAAGGGCGCCCCAAATCGAGCGCCTCTCTTTATAGATTGATCGACGAAAGAAAAAATAGGTATCCTTTTTTTTGATAATATAATCTAACTGACGGATTTCATTGAAGCGCCCCAAATCGAGCGCCTCTCTTTATAGATTGATGAACGAAAGAAAAAATAGGTATCCTTTTTTTGATAATATAATGTAACTGACGGATTTCATTGAATTTCGTTTAAGTAATTTGGGTAAATTAAATGACGGGGTCGTTATCATCCCCATTGTACGAAGCTTTGTCTCTGTGCCTTCTTTATTTAGTCGTCAGTAGTTCTTTAGCAACGAACTGCAAAGGGCGCAAATAACATGGCAAATTTCCTGCTGCTATTTACTCCTACCGACTATTATTGTGTTGACAATGACTAATACAAAGACAGTAATGAAAAATGATTTATGACTGAGACGGGGAACAATAAACTTTTATGAGAACCGTCCTAACTGGAAATTTTCCGCTCAATTTTATTACCTTAGAGAAGAAAATTGCAGACTAATTCTCCATACAATTAAAATCATATTGCAATGATTTTATGTTGTATCTACTACCTAGAAGTTTCTTGTCCTGTCCTAAGTTTTAAGCTTTCACTAAAGTACACCTACCTGCAATTCTTGAAATAAAAAGCATACAAAATTGAAAAACGCTCGACTTCTGTTATTTTCCCGGTATTTGATAAACTTTTTCGTACCCAAATAATGATGTATAAGTCTGCGTGCAACGTGATTTTCCAACATTTTTTTTTCACCCAAGGTGTTTTTTAACCAAATAATTCGATATTTTTGTGTCGAGCTACATAATGTTAACTAATACACTTCATATACGAAACTCGCACAAGTCGATTTTTTTTATTTTCTATAATATATATGTGTCGGCGTTCCTTTCATTCATGACTCCTATACGGCGCCCACGATTCACACCTTTGGCAACGTCTATTTCACGGTGACTCAGTGGCTAAAAGCACTCCAAGCAATACTTTATCGTCATATTTATAAGTCCCATCGTAGCGTATGTGCTGTTGCCGTGTGCAGAATCGTCGCCTGTCTTCACATGGCCAATTAATTATAATTTAATTTGGTTTATGTACATTATAAGGTTTAAATTGAATAAAACACGCGAGAACGCATTTGAATTAAATTCTTTTCGTAAAGCCGATGACAACTTGACAAACAATCACTAATTAATGTCGTTGTAATTCATTGCTCGCTTTTTAAGGGCGTTCTGAACAGTAGCCATTAAAAACATAATGTGCACTTCATCTTTCGCTGTAAGCAGTTATTGTAACTGGGTGACTAAATAATTATGATTTCCTTTACTAATCTTGGACTAATTAACGAAAGGAATATTTATAAGAGGTACTCATACATTCAAACGAATATAATGACAATCAGAATGTGATACTAGGGAAGTTTTTTAAACACTTGAAATAGTAAAGGTATAAGTGGCGGATTTCCCGTACGAAATCTTCCCTTAGTACGAGTGCAAGCTCACGAAAACTATCATAGATTTCGTAATTTTAAAACTCGTACTAAGGGTACAGATGAGGCGGGCTCATTTGCTGCCTCTCAAATAAAAAACTTGTTGAAAATCTTTCATAGATGAAGCTAATTTTGAAAGCTTTTGTGTGGGATATTGGACAAGAATAGCTGACAACGTGATTGGCAATGTCAATCACAATTGTTTTGTGCGGTAAACAACTCAAACTCGAACAATTGAACAATACTGACGTATGCTTATTATTATTATCATGTGTCAATCAATACACGTGCACAGCTTGGAAAATGATAAACATGTATTTAATCATAAGTAAATTAGCATGCTGATTCACTCTGCATACTTTGACCCTTTCGTTTGAAACAAGTGGAATGTAGCTTTCTGCCCGCGTCTTCATTTTCATCCCTTAACCAAAAGCCTTAGCAAAAATCTACTAAGTACTTATAGATTTTCGACAAGAGAAAAGAAACTTTTGTACACAATTCCATACTACTAGAGGGTCAGTCAAATAAACCATAATTTAAAAAGACTAGAGAAATTTCCACTCGGTTCAGGCATCAGACAAGATTCGAACCTACACCGGGCAAAAATCTACCAGTTTGCTGTTTAAAATAACAACATAATTATCATTTATTTATTTATTTATTGTTTAGCATAGATACATTTTATAATTAAACTTGACAACGCTGCAATTAGCAAACCATTAATTACCATTAATTAACTGTGGTGTCTGTAGACACCACAGTATGGATTACTTTAGATTCTAAGCTTCAATGGGGCCCACATATTGATAAATTGTCAAATAGACTTAGTTCTGCAGCATATGCCGTAATGAAGATACGCCAGTTAACGGATGTAGATACGGCCAGATTAGTATACTTTAGTTATTTCCATAGTGTAATGTCGTACGGAATTTTATTGTGGGGAAACGCCGCCGACATTCATACTATTTTTGTGCTGCAGAAGAGAGCTATTCGATCAATTTATAATCTTAAAGTTAAGGATTCCTTAAGAGATAGGTTTAAAGAATTTAGTATAATGACGGTCGCATCACAATACATTTACGAAAATTTATTAGTTGTAAGAAAAAATATTAATTTGTTTCTTAAAAACAGTGATGTTCGCACACTTAATACAAGAAACAAAAATAAACTAACTTTACCTGCTACTAGGCTTCACAAAATCAATAATTCATTTAAAGGTCTTTGTGTTCGCTTATACAATAAAGTCCCAAGCAATATCCAAGAGTTAAGCATAAATAAATTCAAAGATAGTATAAAAAAAGCACTTATTAAAAAAGCTTATTACAAAGTGTCTGATTATATTACAGACAAAAATGCTTGGGTTTGAACTGTTCCAATCATTCCAACAGGTGTTCTATATTAAATAAATCATGATTGTATTGACGTTGTAACAACATAATGATTTGTAAATGTTGTTACATTATTCTTTTAATGTTGTGGAGTTTTTTTCGCTCGTTTTTCTCCGCAGCTAAAAAATATGTCCAATAACGAGTGGTAGGGAAAAAATGTTTGGACGATTACTGCGACTTACTTACTGCGTCGACGACTTACTGCGTCGTCGCTGTCGTCTGTGTAGTAGCAACAGCTGTGTGTATGTCGAGACACAGCTACCACGGCGTGCGGGATGCTGTCGTACAGTTTCGTTCGAACCCCCTTGGTTCTTATGATGCAGGTGTTCTTGCATGTTTGTCCCTGGGCTTCGTGTATGGTAAGGATCTTGGATCCAGTCCCACTTCCATAGCCTTTGGCGCTCAAGGTTCCCTTCTCCTCTTGTGTATGTACTAGATACAGTGTATCTGGGAGAAGGGGTGGGGTATTTGCCCCGGTATATCCTGTTAGATGGAGCGACCGGATCCGGGGTCTGTCGGAATATATCCCGTCATACACAGCGCTCAGGGCAAACGCGACATCCAGGGGGTTTCTCTTGGTGCAGAGTAGCTCTCGCGTGATATTTGCCACAACATGCGGGGTCTCGTACCTCAGACGGAACAGGTTTTCTCTGTCAATGTAGGGCAGCTGATTTATGTCGCCCAGAAGTACGACCCTCTGTGCTCCTGTTATGCGGGTGATGAGGACTAAGGAGCCAAGGTGGTTCATGAGAGCCTCGTCAACTATGAGACGGTTGTAGCTCTCTTTTGATCCATTTACCTGGAGGGATGCCATCGTCTTTACCTGTCTTGCAAAGTGGTTTTCCCACTTTGCCGATATCCTCCCTCTCAGGTCCCCGGCTGCCTCAGTCGTGGTCGTTATTATTAAGTCGCTCTTCGGGTCGAAAAGGTGCAAAGTTGCGCCACTTATGTTAATCTGCCGCGCTCGAGTAAATCCAAAAATCCCCGTTTGAGCTCCACTGCCACTATGTCCTTATAGTATGTAGATCAATTTAAATGCTCGTTCGATTAACTCAAACCGAAAACTTCATACAAAAGACCACATGTCACAGTGGCGCTAACTGGTGGTGTAAATTTTCCTTAACACTCTCATTGGTGTGAGTGTTAGATATACCTATTTAAATATGTCCTCTTAATCATCTGGTATTATCCTCCAGGGCCGTGGTCCGCGAACTAATCGAGACAGAGGAAGAGTTCGGACGCGACATGCTGCAGGTGGTCTCCCGCTACATGAAGCCGGCGGACAAGAGCTGCACGCCCAAGCCAGTGTTCGACAATCGAGAGCTGCTGTTCTCCAACTTCAGACAGATCTGCGAGTTCCATAACACGTAAGTTGGTAGAAAATAATACCCTAAACTTTCCGCTGTTGATGGTGACAATACGTGTCACAAGTCGCGATTTAGTTCTGCCTTAAATTGATAAAGGCAGAGGAAGAGTTCGATCATGACATACTGCAAGTGGTCTCCCGCTACATGAACCCGGCGGACAAGAGCTCCACTCCTAAGCCAGTATTCGACAATCGGGACTTGCAGTTCTCCAACTTCAGGCAAATTGCGTAAGATGGATCAGCTAAATTCCCAACTGGACTGCACATACATATTTACACTTGAGACTTAGATTATGATAGGAGATATGTAAAAAAAGTAGTAAGATGATTCTTTTTATGCTAGAAGGACGGATTTTGACGTCACATGTCACAAATCGCGAGTAAGTCCTGCCTAAACCTGCGCGGGAATAAACATAACGTCAAATGTGTACGTGACAGAAATGAAGCATTGTTCTGAGCCTACTTTCTGCATGACCGCCGCGCTTACGTAAGTATTTTGTGGTTGATTGATCGAGATTCGAGACGGAGAAGGAGTCGCGACATGTTACAAGTAGTCTCACGCTACATGAAGCCGGCAGACAAGTCGTTCGACAATTGAGAGCTGCTGTTCGGTGATGATTCTTTTTATGCTAGAAGGATGGCTCCCGCAGTTCTCGAACATAATTACGCTAGTTGTGAATAAATTCTGCTTATCCATCTCTCAATCAATGAGAAAGCACATTGAAAAAAATTGAGCCGACTTCTGACTGATATATTTGGAGTTGATACTATTATCATGATCTCTCTGATAAACACACGGCTTGGTTTATTTTTTAAATTATATTTTGTTTGTTACCTGCAACGCGAAGAGATGGCGCTGCCTTGCAGCCTAAGAAATAGTAGAAGAAAATCGACACGGCCATTAAGGCCGCTGTATCATACTTATCAGGACCTGACCTGGCCAGCGTATTTTTTTTTGGAGTAAAATCATCTTTAGACTAAAATGTTGTATTGGTTTAAGGCTTAAAATTGCCAGAGTTCTATGAGTTAAGTATAGTAACTTTATGTGTTTATTATCTTTAATTTCTATGATTAATACGTGTTAAGTTAAAAATTATTAATGTTATTTCATTTATAAGATAGAAATTAATACCTTCATACGTTATTAACAATATATTCATTTCACAGGATGTTGCTGGAAGGCATAAAATATTACGCATCGGAGCCCCGTATGCTGGGCCGCGCCCTTCTACGCATGGAGCGCGAATTTGACAAACATGTGGCGTACTGTCGCGACGAACCGCGAGCACAACACTTACTAGCCACGGACCCAGTCGTCAACAAATACTTCCAGGTGAATCTACTCCATAGGAACGTTCACAGGATGCTGCTAGCAGCAACGAATTAGAAATAATATGGAATATGAACTGCGCTAAAAATGGTTCCACGTTAACTGCAATCAAGTGGGCGGGGCGAAAAAACTGCGATCAACACGCCGGTCATGAGATTGGTTGGGACTACCGTTTAATATTATCTTACCCAATGAATGGATAGCCAAATTCATTTGTAGTGTTTGATTTGTCAAAATTCATTACTAACGCGACACGCACACAGACAATTATTTGAAGTCAGGTAAATTTTAGTTGTATGAATTTGGAACAATATTTTAGCGGCCTTTGTAACAGAGTTATGCTTCCATATCATTTCTAATTCGTTGGCTGGAAGGTATAAAGTATTACGCACCCGAGCCTCGTATTATTCTATGTCAGGTGAAGTTTAGTTGTATGATTTGGAACCATGTTTTAGCGGCCTTTGTTACAGAGTTATGCTTCCATATCATTTCTAATTCGTTGGCTGGAAGGTATAAAGTATTACGCACCCGAGCCTCGTATGTTAGGCTGCGCCCTTTTACGTATGGAGCGCGAATTCGGTAAATATGTGGCGTACTATCACGACGAACCGCGAGCGCAATATTTACTGGCCACGGACCGAGTCGTCAACAAATACTTCCAGGAGAGTCTATAATACCGTTCTCAGGATGCTCCTCGAAGGCATAAAGTATTATGCGTTGGGCCACGCCCTACGCATGGATCGCAAATTTGACAAACATGTAGCGCACTGTCATGACGAACCCTATAGAGCCTAGTGCGCATTAGTGAGTGCTAACGACTGCAGATACGGCTGGGACCATCGTCTTAACGCGCCTTCCGAAGCACAGAAGTGCTCGAGATAATAAGCTTTTGGTCACTCATCTAATGGCCTAGCTTTGTGAAAGTTGCTTGAATGTTAAGCAACTTTCACAAAGCTATCAAATCAATCGCAGGCAGAATTAGTGTTGCCCAAATGCAAGAACAAGACGAGACTTAGCCAGTCTTGGTCTTGGTCTTGCGTCACTACACCTGGTCTTGGTCTTGCGCTCCCAGTCTTGGTCTTGGTCTTGCAGCAAGAGTCTTGCAAGTCTTGCAATTACCTATTAGACTATTGCTATTTATTAAAGTTTACTTTAGATCTTAGACATTGTGTGCTTGATTTAACATAGCCATAGTAAAGACCAATCAGATTAATAAATGTCTGAAGATTTGATAAGAAATTCGAAAAATCAACTGCCACATGATTATCAACTGAGCTATATGCCGTTTTCCATGGGAGTAACTTTTTCTTAATAAACATTTACACTTTATAAGCTTACATGTGCTAAAACATGTAAAAAACAAATTAATTACAATAACTTGACTATATTTTAAAGAACAATATCTGTCTAGAAAGAGATTGAACTCTCAACTTATATGAAATTTAATAAAAGAGTTTTACGATTTATCATTTCAATAAAAAATAAAACACAACACAAATCAAATAACATAACAGTACACAACAGCTTTGTCATTAGGTTCTGTAACATTATATCAATTCTTTTGACCAAGAATTAATACAAATTAACCATCTGGCTGACTCATCACTTAACCTATTTCTATGTTTTCTAATGTATTAACGTTAGTGGGACGGCACGACACAAAATTAAAATTTTGCATGAGTATACCTAGGCCCTGTGGCGGCAATCAAATAGTGTCAAATGTTGTGATTTCGGCGCGGCGACAACGATTGGTTTATGTGATTTCAATAGAAGCCGCCGGCGCGTGTATCATCACCATCAAAATCAAATTTCTTTGAGAAGTCAGTACAAAACCTTTGATGCCGCATTATCAAAGTGCCGATGGTTAAAACAAAACTATGCATGCACTCTGTTTGATTTTAATGGATATGTTTTTATTCGCTATGTATGTTTATGGTATTGGTCGTAATGCGCATAGGTCCAGTTTTTCATATTCTTTGATACAGTTTTTTGCATCTCATAGAATTCCTAAGCGTACCTATACACCGAACTGTTATACCTAACTACTCCGTGAAATAGCGCAAGTTCTAGCTGCAAGACGCAAGAGTCTTGCCGGATTAGTCTTGTTCTTGCTCAAGTCTTGCACGGTCAGTCTTGGTCTTGGTCTTGCTAAAAATACGCGGTCTTGTTCTTGGTCTTGGTCTTGCAAAAATGCAAGAACAAGACCAAGACTGCAAGACCAAGACTGAATTTGGGCAACACTAGGCAGGATGCTCTAACCACCTGCGCCATCAAGCTCCACTGGAAGATGGATGCTGTTCAAAGGCAGAAAATACTGTCGCTATGAGTCGCATGCGCAGGATCTACTAGCTACAGATCCAGTCGCCAACAAATACTTCCAGGTGCGTCTATAGTAACGTTCACAGGTGCTGCTTGAAGAATTAAAGTTCTGTCGCGACTAACTACGCGCTCAACACTCACTATATAGCCACGGATCTAATCGCCAAAAAATACTTCTAAGTGCGTCTATAGTAACGTTCACTGAATGCTGCTTGAGGGCATAAAATATTATGTGTCGGATCTCCGACCACTGGCCACGGATCCAATAGTCAACAAATATAATACATACCACTGCATCTATAGTAACGTCCACAGGATGCTGTTCAAAGATATAAAGTACTGCTACGAAGAGCTGCGCGCGACAGCTACTGTCTGCTAGTACCAATACTAAGTGTCTAAAAAGCTATGCTATCTAGAAGAACTTTTTTTACCGGTTCTCACTTCACAGAAACGAGTTAGTGGAGTGCATTCTTTATCACGGTCAATTAAATAAGACTAACATTGAAAAAGTCATAAGAAAAACAAATGCAGCCCTCGTGTCTGTACTCTGGTCAGTGTTAGAAAAGCTTGTATCAGCTCGATTTTAATAAATAGAGTTTAGTATGTTTTTTCAATGGATTCAATAGAACATGTTAATTTAGATAGATTCCATTCCATTGCTAAAAATGCAACTAGATTCCAAGTTTCAATCAAACGTTAAATACGAAACTGTTATCTCAACATTGATAAATATTTTTGAAAGCGCCATCTACCAGTATCGATGATAAATATAAGCTTTCAAAGCTCCGGACTGAGTGCGACTTGAACGACATCTGTGCTAATTTTAACGCACTACAGCACAAAATATAAATGCTCAGAATGGGTTTGAATGAAATTTAACTGATTCTGCTGTTAATAATTCTGGTGCTTGAACTTTTGTTCTTGGCATAGATGGCGTTATAGTTGTACTATATTAATAACTAGGTACCTACCACTTCGGTAACTTCAAATGTGTGAGAAGGACATTTTATGAAAGCTGTAAAAGCTAATTGATTATTTACTTTGTATCCTCTCCCGACATAAAACCAGGACTTGTAAGCAAAGCAAAAACAACTTGCTTCATTTCCTTTTCCTTGTCTCCTTTCACTACAGCAACAGCTGACAGACAATTACTGATAATAAATAAAACAGTTCTAATAATCTCATGATCTCACGGCATCAGATTAACATTAGCTATCTTCGAGACGGTTGCTCGGGCGCCGCTGAGCCTGTTAGGCACTCCGCCAAAGACTAGAATAGTTCGGATGCCAAGCGCGCGCTGTCAAATAACATCATAACGGGGGCAATCGGCACTCTACACGTAAACACTGACGGCTATCTGATTTGAGCATAATTTGGCTGCAAAATTCGATAAATTTGGCATGCATCTTACGCAAATTATAGGTATATAGGCAAAATTGTGGCTTATTTCTGTTAAAAGTTTCTCGACTAGAGATAAACATATAATTTTACGCGAAACATAAAGAATTGTCAGTTGCTAGCTAATCGAATCTGCTAAACTCCGGCATTCGATAAATGTGGGATGGGTCTTACGCAAATTATATAGGTTACAACTTAAGTTGCGAGACTTCACCGCAAGCAAAATTGAAGTTATTTCTGTTATGAGTTTCTTGGCTAAAGATAAACATATAATTTGACGCGAAACACAAACAATTGTCAGTCGTTGTTAGCTAATCAAATCTGCTAAACTAACACGTTAAAATTGATTACACAGAAACAGCACATCCAACCTATTTTGCATTATTTAGAAATTATAGTAACCTATTGTAGTCTAACTAATCCAAGAGCCATTAACCGATACAAGTAAATTTTTTAAAGAGAATAGCAAAATATATGTATATATCTTCACACCGTGTCCCAGGGTTAAGGACGTTTTGGCTATCGAATCTGGTAAATATGGCGGAAACGATGACCAGTCCATTTAAAGCTATTCCTTTTTTTTATAGCCAGGTAGTCAAATAACTCTACCCCACCTGATGTTAAGTGGTGATAGAATCCTAATGCGAAGAGAACAGTATTAGAGTGTCTAAATGTAATAGCAAGGAACATCCTTGTATTGCCATTAAAAAGTAATTGATAAGAACCGTACGGCTATTTGCGATGTTTTCGCCTGTTTTCAGCAGGTCCAAATAACACAATTGCATTTTGGCATCAAATCCAAAGCATTGTTTTCTTACCAGAGCAATTTGGCCACGGTATCTAGTTTAATACTAAAATAAACTTAGTTCTTGTCATGTTTGTAAATATGTTTAAGGTAACCCTGAGCCCTGACCCCCTCCCCGCTCCCCCTGGGTGGCTGACTCCCTTTTCACCACCTCTGGACCTCTGAAATTATAAAAATTATATTTGATATCGAACTCAGATGCAGGAAAAAAAAACTTGAAAATCATTTTTTTTCGATGTTTTAATTGACCCTGACGAAATCGTCGGATTTTGCGACCACAAACTTCTATATGACCAAGTTTCTAGGCTTACTTAATACTTGATACTTGTTGTGCGCCCCCATTTCCGCACGTAGACTCCGTACTTTAAGGATCTTTTTTTCAAGTTTCTAAGCTTGGATCAGGAGAAAAAAAAGCAAAAAATGTAGATAACTCAGTGCAGACACACACACAGACACGAACCACGTTATGGTTCTAAAGAAA